CGCCGAGACGATCGTCCTCAGAGCTACCACCTCGGTCGACGGCGACCGCGTCGAGCAGGGGCGAAGGTCGGTGCAGAGGATTCATCCAGTGTAGCGTGCTCGACCGAGCACCTCCCCGGTCGCGGCGACGAGCAGCATCTCGTCGCCGTCGCCCTGCAGCTGCACTCCGCTCTCCTTCAGTTGGCCAGATGACAGCAGGTTCGCCTGTACGCCCGGAACGTAGAGCACGTCGGGGATGAGGACCTGCTTCCCGGCCTCCCCTTGCAGAGCGACGGTTCCGCGTCCCTCGACAGGCTGCAGCGCCCCGTTGAATCCACGCACGTGCTTCACTTCGTCGCTTGGAGCCATGTCGACGAAGACCGCCTTCGTCCCCATCAGGTGGTGGGAGCACCCGCTGTCGAGCAGCACCGCCATCGGGTTGGCCTGCACAGCTGCTGCCACCGCCTGGAAGTCCTCGCCGGCCTCCGGCGCCAGCGAGACTGTCGGCTCCACCACGCTGACCATCGAGCACGACGCCTCCCCGTCGCCTCGGCCCTTGCCGCTGGAGTTGTCGACGTCCTTTGTCGACGACGTCTTCTTCGACGGCTGCTTCTCCTTTCGCAGCTTCTCATCTCGACGGGGGCGACGACTGGCCGATCGACCGCGGCCTCCCTTGTTGTCGTCCTCGTCGCTGTCATCGCGGTCGGGGCACTCGAAAGAGAGATGGTCGGGGTCGCCGCAGACCCAGCACTCCCGCCGTCGACCACCACCTCCACGACCCTTGCCCCGCGTAGACTTCTTCTCGTCGACGTCCTTCGTCGACCGCCCACTTCCGCTACCACCTCCGCCCGGCTTCCCGCGCTGCCCTTGCTGCTGATTCAGCTTCGTCGGTGCAGCGTAGTTTGCCTGCGGAAGGAGCTCCGTGGGCTGTTCGGCCTCCTGCATCGCCTCATCTTGAAGGATGTAGCTGGTGATGGAGTCCTCGTCGAGGGACTCGCGCGTGCCAGGCACCATCAACATCCTCTTCATGAGGTTGTAGCTGCGCGGCAGGCCCTTGACGACGTGGGTGATGTAGGACGCCGTCGAGTACTCGGCGCCCGCCATCCGCATCTCAGCCAGGATCCGTCGAGCACGGTTGCAGTAGTCTGTCGCTGACTCCTGCTCGCCCATCCGAATGTGAGTCATCTTCTCCTCCAACTGTCCGATGTACAGGTCGTCCTTCACCTGGTACGTCGACAGGATGAAGCGCCATGCCTGGTGACCGGCATCGAGTCACTCTCGATAGCTGCTGAGCGCTAGCTGCACCACCGGCGAGCAGCACCTCGAGATGACCATGAAGGTGAGTAAGTGAGCAGCACGAAACTCCCTGCGCAGCTCGACATCGTCGGGCGGAGTGGGCACGGTGCCGTCGGCGAAGCCCTTCAGCCCGGCAACCTCCAGCTGAGGTTCGATCGACTCCCTCCAGGTGATGAGGTCTCGTCGACCTTGCAGCAGTGCAACGGTGATTCGGTCCAGCGAGAACTTGAAGTAGCCATACGCCGGAGCAATCCCGCCCGCCGTCACGTGTGTGGTCGCCGGGAACCCTCCACCGCTTCGTAGAGGAGAGCGACGTCGACCATCAGCTTCGACTCGCGAGCTGCCTGCGGCTGCCGTTGGCCGCTGCACCCGCGCCTGTATCCCGTCGACGCCACCGTCGACCTTGATCACCCCTCTCTGCCTCGTGCCTTCGCTGCCGCTGACTCGTGCACCGCCGTCGACCTCGTCGTCGACGCCACCTTCGTTTCGCACCGGTCGAGGAGATGCAGGACGGGAAGGGTGATCCGTCGCCCACTGCGCCCGGACGCCCAACTCGACGATCGTCAAAGGGATCGTCCCGCACTCGCCATCCGCATGACGTCTCCTCGCATCAGCCAAGCGTGCCTCCAAGGTGTCCGCTACGCCCGCATCAACTACGGGGTCGACCATGGCGACTAACGCTGCTGCCGGCCTACGAACGACTTAGTAGGTGCAAACGTCAGCTCCTATCTGAAGGTCGCGTGTTCGATCCACGCTCACCGCACCATGCGGAGATTCACTCTACAACGGTAGTGAGCTAGACTACGGGGTTGGCACGAACTACTATGAGTGATCGTAGCTTTGCTTGGTTCCTTAGTGCTTGCACATTCACTGGAGAAATTGGCAATAGTCTCCACTAGCAAAGTTGGAATTACAGAATGATTGAACAAGCAATGACAACAATGACTACATCAGACACCCAGCAAGTCTGCAGCTAGCCTGGTCGACCGCCAGCACAGCTCGGTCGACCGCCTGCCAGCGTTGCGTAGAGGAGCCGCGCCAGCACTGCAGAAGGGCGATCTGCCAACGCAGCAGGTCGACGACGTGCCAACACTTCAGCAGTGCGGCTGTCTAGCGTTGCACCCGTAGATGATAGCAGTGCGCACGCTCGCAGGTGCGCGCAGACGATTGGCCGGACTTGCATCGTTGTGCACCCGTCGGCTGTTGTCTGTGCCTGACGAGCCACATCGACTTCGGGATACCAGCCCGAAGTCGCCTTCGCCATCGCGACCTCGACGACGTTCGCGTGCCTCCGCAGAACTCGTCGAGCAGGTTACCCGGTCGACCTGGTCGACCCCCAGATGCCCTGGTCGACCCCCAGGGGCCTCTGGTCGACCACAACTCCCGTCAAGCTATCCCCTGGTCGACGGACCCCTTCCGTCGACCCGAACCGTCAGCAGTTGTCAGCAGCTGTCCCCCTCGTCGACCGCTGCTCACCTGTAAGGTCGATGGGATGCACCGGAGACCTCCCGGTCGAGCTGCAGGTCGACGGGATGCTCCCTAGACCTCCCCGTCGAACTGTAGGTCGATGGATTGTTCCATCGACCTTCCGGTCGAACTGCAGGTCGACGGACTGCTCCTTCGACCTCCCGGACAGCCCACCCGTCGCCCAGGCCAATCAGATGCAGCTGTCGAGCTCCCTGGTCGACAGCAACACCACAGCGGTCCCCTGCAGCTCGACGAAGCCTGTCGAGCAGCTCTCCCACTGTGAACGGTCGGCTGCTACTCCCGTACATCCGACCAAAGCGTCGGCGTTGCCCAAGCGAGGGCGGGGCCAACACTCTATTCCCGTTAACACCACCAACTGCATCGCTGCCTCTACCTCATGCTGCATCTGCCGAGGGCAGTTGAATCCAGGCAGCACCAGGCGACCCTGCTCTGGTTGCTCACCCCTCGGTGCTTTCTTTACTCTTCTCTCCTGCTCTTCAAGCTTCAGCAACAGCGTCTCAACCTGCTTTGGCTGCTCAACCCATGAAGCCTCCATTACCCTTCTCCCCTCCTCATACTCCATCTCCCGCAACAAAGCCGTCAGCTGGCCGTCCAGTGGTGTGACTGTAGCAGCTGCCTGGTGTGAGAGGTGTGACTGTATCGGAATGGCCGCCTGCTCCCATGACCTCTTTCTTGTAGCAGCGCTGGCGCTGGCACCGGTGGCGGCAGGAGGAGGAGTGCAGGTACCATTGGTGGCAGTATGAAGGGCTTGATTGCGGTTCTGAGGAGCGAGTGGTTTGGAGAGGCAAGTGGATGGGACGATGCAGGGTGAAGTGGGAGGGAGGGGCAGCGTCGAGTAGCTTCTGTGCATTGCTGCTGCTTGTGCTGGTGGGGCATCAGCAGGAGTTGGAGGAGGAGGAGCAGGAAAGACATGAGCCGTCAGAGCAGCAGCACGGGCCACAGCCGCTGGATGTGTAACGGCAGGAGGCACAGGTGCGTTGAACAAAACGCTGGCACCCAGATCCGCCAGCACGGCTATATACGCCGACACATGCCCCGGCAGGGATGGCACATGGCTCGTCAGGCTTGGCACATGGCTCGTCAGGGTTGGCAGATGGCCTGGCGGGGACGGCAACCCCTCTCCAGCAGCAGCAATGGGGCAAGCATCAACGACAGTGATGGCGCCGACTGCGCTGGCTGAAGCATAATCAAGCGTTTGTGCCCTCGCGCTGCCTCGTGAAAATGCATTCGGAGTGGAGCTGGGAGTTTGATCAGTCTTGTGTGCCGTCATGCTGTCTTGAGACGGTGGCAGCAGTTGCTCCAGCATCTGTGCGCTCATGTGCCCAGCAGAGACACCACCACAGGTGCTGGTAGTGGCAGTATTAGCAGTAGGAGTTCCAGAACCGCTCTCCACCGCAGTCAGAGCAGGGAAGTCTGTGCAGGTGCCAAGTGCAGGGTTAGCTGCGGGACTGAAGGGATGTGCAGCAGTGGGGGGCATGGAAGTTTTGGAACCGCTCTGTACCGCAGCCATTGCAGGGAAGTTTGTGCAGGTGCGAAGTGCAGGGTCAGCTATGGGACTGAAGGGACGTGCAGCCGTGGGGGGCATACCCACATTTCATTCAATGCACTCATTCCTGCTTGTTATCTTAACAGCTGTGGGTGGGAACAGTTGTGTACGAGGTAAGCAGGGGCGCGGAGTAAGGAAAAGGAATTTTCCTTACATGTACAATTTTGTTCCTCTGAGAAATATGTACACAATTACGGGTGATATTCCTAGTAAAAGTACACTCACACTAAGCATCATTGCTGGTAAAGGTTTTGTCGAGAGGTGTTGTAATTTGAATGAGCGTCGGCTGCTTCGTCGGTACACGTCAGCATTTTTGAACTCGAATCATGCATGCGGGATCTCCCAGTCTTGCGCGAAGGTTTGGGAGGCTTCTGCCACATCAGCATCAGATACATTGCAGGTGACGCGATTTGAGCACCTGGTGAAATTTCTGACCGAAGGGTCCACTGCACTAGAAAGGCGTGAGGTTCGAGTTGTTTCCGCGTTCGAGTTGTTTCCGCGTAAGCTGCGCCTTTTTTGTTTGACACAGGCGTGAGGTTCGAGTTGCTTGCTAGCATTCACTTATAGCTCCTAGCCTCGTGTCGTTTAGTCTCTCTTTGACGATAGTGTTCCCTCCTGTCGCCTCAACTAGTGCTCAGTCCGTTTCGTTTTAGTTTTTCCACCTCCCTCCTCTGCCGCCTTTTGCGAAAAAATGATGCGCATCGCTTCTCGCCAGCTGGTCTCCGCGGGGAAGTCGCTTAAAGCGGCAACTCCCGCAGAACTCGCCGCACTTGGCGGCGCTAGAGGCGGGCGCGGACTCGCGGCGTCGGCGGCGAGTGATTCCAGCCGTGCGATCGTGGCGAGCCTTCCAGATCTGCCGTACGATTATGGCGCGCTGGAGCCGGTGGTGAGCGGCGAGATCATGCAGTTACATCACGCGAAGCACCACGCTGCTTACGTGGCGGGTTACAACAAGGCCGTGGAACAGCTGGACGCGGTGCGGGAAAAAGGCGACACGGAGGCGGTGGTGTCGCTCCAACGAGCGATTAACTTCAATGGCGGAGGTAGGCCGGGAGATTAAATCCGAAATCAACCGTGTAAAGACGGTGCTGGTAAGCGTCGTGTTTCCTACTTGCGTAAACCAGCTTATAAGCACTTCCACTAGTTATTTATAAGCCCGACAACTCGCAAAGGTGATGGGTTCGAGATTGGGAAAAGAATGGTTAAAGATAAAGAAGTTCAGCATGTATGATGTATACAGTATTACGAGAAATCAGCAAGGCAGGTGTTGCTTGTATGGTGTACAAGATAAAATAATATCGGGAAAACCAACAACGTACGGATTGCATCTTGTTCGGATACTGTTTCGACGGATTCTTTCAGCGGAGCCTGCAGTCATAATTGAGTTTGTCGCCACATGTATGTCTGTTGCCATGCACGCTAATGTGTGCGTCGTGGGGTACTGTCTGTGCGACTGTGCGACTGTGACTTTGCGCGACGCTGTGCGACTGTGCTAACGTGTGCTGTGTGCGACCGTCCGTTGCGTGCAGGCCACGTGAACCACAGCATCTTCTGGAACAACCTCGCACCCATCAGTGTAAGCACTCTCATCTCTCCAGCCTCTTCCCTTCTCAAGCTTATTTACTACATTCTTTTATTCACGCTAACCACAGCATCTTCTGGAAGAACCTCGCTCCCATCAGTGTAAGGCAACTGCTCTCTCGATTTCTATCTCCTTTCTTTTTTTCGTTTGCAAAAAGTCACAAGTCCCCCTCAATCTGTTACCACTGTTCATAATTCTCTCTTATTTATGGAGCGCAGCTTCAACCGCACGCTGCCTAACACCAATCCGAACGTATCCGAAAGCCACTTTTCCCTCTCCCCCTTGTCTTGCCCCACGTGTTCACAGGAGGGAGGGGGAGCGCCACCAGAGGGCGCTCTGGCGGCAGCCATTGACGCCGAGTTTGGGTGACTGGACGCCGTTGTTTCATGCCCACATGCTCCGTCCCCAACCTTCTCCCCCTCCCCCTCTTCTTCGCTTTGCCCTCGCCATTGCAGGAGGGAGGGGGAGCGCCACCAGAGGGCGCTCTGGCGGCAGCCATTGACGCCGAGTTTGGGTCGCTGGACGCCCTTGTTTCCAAATTCAACGCTGCTGGTGCTGGCGTGCAGGGATCCGGATGGGTGGTGAGTGTAACAGTTGGGACTGTATCGAGTTGGGAGTGTTGTCCTTTTGACTCTAGTGCACGTTGGGTCGCTGGACGCCCTTGTTTCCAAGCTCAACGCAGCTTGGGCTGGCGTGCAGGGGTCCGGATGGGTGGTGAGTGACTATGACGGGTGGGATGTTTATTGAGAAAGGAGCGTTCTCCTTTTGGTTTGCTGGACGCCCTTGTCTCCAAGTTCAATGCTGCTGGCGCTGGAGTGCAGGCTTCCATGTTGAGCGACTGTATTGGGTGGAATTGTTTTGAATTAGGAGTGTTCTGTGTGTGACTGTACGAGTTTGGGTCGCTGGACGCTTTTGTGTCCAGGTGGGTGGTGAGTGACTTACTGGTGGAATCGTATTGAGTTGGGAGTGTATTTTTTGTGATTGTAACGAACACGAGTTTGGGTCAGTGGACGCCCTTGCCTCCCGAGTTCAATGCTGCTGACGCTGGCAGGAGCCTAGATGGATGCATTGAAATGGTGGGTGTTTGTCCCTAGAGATAGGAAAGGGGGAAAGAAAAAAACTCGCACTGTCTCCTTCCCCCCTGCGGTGATTCTGCCTTAGAAAAAAGAACTCTTGTTTTCTTATTCTTCCTTGTTTCTCAGAACAAGTTTCCTCCCACTTTCATTTGTCCCCTCATTTCCCCCAGTGGTTGGGCCTCAATGACCGAAAGAAGCTGGCAATTGTCACGACAGCCAATCAGGACGCGTGTGTGACTACAGGCCACGTGCCACTATTGGGTGTTGACGTCTGGGAGCATGCCTACTACCTTCAGGTAAGATCCTCTTACTCTACTTACCTGTGCTTATTATTACTGCTACTGCCACTAGGCATCGTGCAGAAAATTCTGGTATCATTGGCAGCATTCGGGACATTGAGAATCCACAGCTGCAAGTGTTGTTTTTCATTAGTAAGTTTTGCATTCGTATATGGATGCCTAATGTTGCGTCCGTCTTTCCTGTTTTCTCATCTCGTATTTGGGCTTTGTGTTTTTTCCAGTACAAAAATGTTCGTCCTGACTACCTGAAAAACATCTGGAAGATCATCAACTGGAAGGATGTGGCTTCTCGCTATGCAGCTGCTTCTTGAAGGAAACAAGGTTCCACCTCAAATTGTGAAGTGGAAAGCTGCTTGAAAGTAGAGTACACATTTTGTAATATGATACAAACGATGTGTTTCATAGTGTATTACCAATGATTTGGTGAGTAGTGATTCATGTTCAAATACTCCGCCAGTGTATTTGAGACAGCAAGAAATGATGCTGTCAGCATCAGGATGCCTGTTCTCAACCTTGATTGCACAATAGCAACATTGCATTGCGTTTGAGCCAAGGCATCCTATGTTACTGTGGGTCTGTTGATTGTTTTTTTTTGTAGCAAGTGTATTTTGTAACCCTACTTCCCCGTGAGGCTTCTCTCTAACGAGATTCACAGTCATGTTTACCGTTTGGCACGGGAAGCGCGCCCTGACCAGCCCTGGTCAGGCGACAAGCCGCCATCGCGGCTTCGGATCACTCGCCTCGCCGCTGACATGTCGGCTCGAACCGTCTCTCCCCCGCACATTTCAGTTGAGTCCACGAATTTTCTGGCCCCTTGGTTCTTGGCTTGCATTCCGTGGCGGCAGGCAGGGCAAACAGGGCATGCGCTAGCACCCCAAGCTGCCCCGCTCGGTCTGGAAACGCCATTCGCGGAAAAGCGAGCACAAAAGCCAACCAATCAACCGCACGCCATCGGTTCTCACCTCGCTCGCATCTCTCCCGCGCCTTGAGGAACACGGCAGGGCTTTCGCAAACAGCGCGAAAACTTCTGCGTAACCAGCTTTGCCTGCGCATATGTCTGCTTCCAGGGGCATACAGCGAGCGAAATTGGTTTTCGCACCCAGCTCGAGCCGTGCATCACAGTGAGACTCCCCTCGACAAATTGTCGTCCCCCCGCCCCCCAACCCGAACCACACTGCCAACGGTTCACACATCCACGAGCCACGACGAGCACCTTGGCCAAACAGAACCCCGCATGGACATGTCCCTGAAGCGTTCCCATTTACTCCCCCTCTTCTCCCATCCCTTTTAGCCCCTTTCCCCCACCTCCCCCTTTACCTTCTCGTTTCCCGCCATTCACGAACCTCCCCGCCTTTATCTAACAAGACATCCCCTACTTCCCATGACAAGACATTCCGTCTCTCAGCCCATGGCCAGCACTTGCACAGAGAACACTTTCGAACCCAATATCTAGACTAGTACGTCCTTCAGTGCTCCCGAATCTTTTCGTTACACGTTTTTCCCTAGTTCCTGCCTCCTCTGGCCAAGTAGATACTAGCCGCCATGTCTGAGCGGAGCAATTATTCCTACAACGGGCCGCGTCCCAACCCGTTATACGGCGGCCCGAAGGCCTCTAAAGCCACCAGCTCTAGCAGCCAGAACCCCTCGTGGGTGCGTCGCGAGCCGTCCGCGTCGCACGCCTATAGCGACTCGAACTGCTCGCCCGGCGCCTCGCCCGCGCGCAGCAACCGTAGCGGCGGAGGACCGTACTACGCGCCGCAGTATGAAAATCCTGGCTATACTGTCGAGACACCAGGACACTATAACGGGTTCGGGACGGGTCCCGGGTCCGTCGGCGGAAGCTCCATCCCCGCCGCGTCGCCCTACCGCCCCACCGCGTCTTATTTCGTGCAGACGCCCGCTCATTCCGACCGCGCGGGGCTTTTCAGCTCGCCCGGGTCATCCGCGCCGTCGTCGCCGCGATTCGGCGATGAAGACGCGCGGAGCATGCGATCCGGACGAGGAGGCGCGTCCGTTGCGATCAACGGCGGCGACGGCGACGACGACTACGACGATTTCTACCCCGATCATTTGCGCGACGCAGACCGGCGACGCAAGTGGTGGATCGCATTCTGGGCGTATTCGTCGCTGATCGTCGGGCTGCTTCTGGTCGCAGGCGCTATCGTCTGCTGGATCATCTTCCAACCGACGGAACCAACGTACACTTTCGACGTACGTTGGTTTGCACGCGCTTGGTTTAAATTTCCCTTCCTGATTATTGCTGCCAGATTCTACCGCCCTGGCGCGCGTCGGTAGCGCATTAGCTCTCCCCCCCTCCCCATAACCAATCGACATCGCTCTGTTGTTTTCTGTCCAAATTTTCGACCATTATTCAACCTGCAATTCTCCAATTTCCCGTTTTTTTTTTTGTTTCTTTCTATTTTTTGTTTTTATTATTCTTTCCATGTGTACAGTACGTGGCGGTGAACCAGTTTACTGTATACCAGGACATGCTCGACGGTAACGGAATGGCGACGGACCATCTGTACGCGAACATGACGTTCATCTTCTCTATACGTAACCCCAATACGCGGTTCAACACGTGGTTCGACGGCGGCGATCTCTCCATCAGCTACCACAATATGGCAAACATCATGAAGTCAACAGTAAGACCCAGCACTCACTCAGTCACTCACTAAGATAAGAGCCCGCAACCCCTCTCAAACACGACCACTCTTTCTCACTCATTCACCCTCATGCTCTCAATCTCTCACTCACTCGCTACACACATCTG